AGAGGACACTGTAGAAATCACTTTCAAATCCCAGGGACTGTACGTGTAATGTACTGTTAAATTAACTTCTATTTCTAGTGCGCTTGGAGGATCATCTGCCCTTCACATCCCAGCCTTTCCTGGTGGAGGTTGTCTTATCGATTATGTACCCCAAGTATGCCAGCTGCTAACAAACAAGGTACGTCGGTAAAGAGAACTCAGTTTTCCTTTCCCTTATGTGCTGTACTGTATTGTAGTAACACACTGTAGCATTTCCATAGACATTGCCAGGTAGTCCAAGCAGGGCATACTTAAGGTGAACTGCACAAGGAATACCTGCTTGATAAGACCTGAGTACCTAAGCGGGGCGTTGAAGATGATGATTCTTTTACATAAAAGCGTGTTTGGGATCAGATCCTACAGTGGATTTTTCTTATTGTGACATGTTACGATTTGGGATAAAATGTTACTGTATCGTACAACACTGCATTGTAGTGTACTATTTTGCTAGTAAATACAAATGTGTAGTTTGTGTAATGTTTTTCCAGTTGGAAGTTCTCATACCAGAGTCATTGTTGTAGATTTTGAGTGCTTTCAGTGATTTTCTTCTCAGATGTTTCTTCCAAATGAACTGAATCAGCAGTCTATATGGATGTTTATACAGTAATAGCTACTTACGGTTGCTGAAAAGGTTGTGTTCCGGTTGGCTTACTGCTTAAACAAAAAAGAATGAGAATAGTATTTTGAAAGCTTCTCCATTATTTAAGTGTAATTTTCAAAAGAAAGCTTACAGGCCAACATCAAGGAATCTGCCTATTACAGACCTCCTATTTGTATTTGTATAATATTTTTATCTTCATTTGTCCAAATGAGGAAAATAATTTTATCTTTTAGAAAAAGTTCTTCAAAATGTGTTTCCATAATTATATTGGAATCTATCTTTAGAGTTGTTTTTGTTGTGGTTTTCTGTTAAAATTACTTTCTGTTTTTAAAATCTGCAAGTATACAGGACTGTTTTTATCCTTTCTTAAACAAAGTCCCTTAAGCAAACTTATCATATGTTTTCCTTTTCCCAAAATAACATTTCAGATCCCACACAAAGCCTTCAAAATAATTGTAAGGTTTTTTTATAAAATGAAATAAGTCTCAATTTATAAATAGAATTTAACTTTAAGAGGTACAAGATACCTCTCAGCAATGATTGTATCAGGGCTTTTTCAGTAATTTTAGGAAAGTGTTTACTGGCCAAGAAATTCTAGTATTACTATAGCCAAGGAAAATACTCTTCCTGTTCTTTTTCTGTTCGGTAGGGAGAAAAAGGCTTTTAAAATGTTAGTTTCATTCTGGAAGGCAAGGGGATTTACATAGGGATTCACATATGGAACCATACCATAAGTACTTGAAGTAACCAGTGGTAAATCAGATGCTCTTGCAGCCTGACAACACATGGATTGTTTCCGTTATGGGTCAGACCCTGTTCTCACTGTTCTGCTAAGTAATCCCATTCAAATCAATAAGAAAACGTACATGGTGCGAGGACAATTTTGCCTTAAGTCTTCCAAGTTCAGCGTCATTGGATTTTTGTCTGTGCCAGGATGGAAGTCTTTCAAAACCCAGAACGCCTCAGAAAGTGATGCTCGCAGTTGAGTAGGTGGCTCCCTGAGTCAGCATGAAACCACTGAGAGAGCTTAGTGTTAAGAAGATTTTGTTGGAGGTGCAGTCTTCAGAAAACACCCAAGATCAGTTGTGAAATACATTTTTTTTTTCCTTTTCTTTTATAAACAAAATGTTTTGACACTTAACCAACTATCGGTTCAGGTAATTATGATTTGCCTATCACGGCTTCCTGCTCAAACTTCAGCAAGGCAAGGTCGCGCATTCCTTTTCTTCACTCTTTATCTCGTGCAGTTAAACAGCTCTTCAATATATTGTGAAAGACTAAGTTTCACTCTGAAGTGAGTGAAGAGATTTCTTTACCAGATTTTCTGTGTGCAAGATCCACTGTTTGTTTTAAAGGCATTTTAGGATACTTTAGGGAAATCATGCAAGCTAAATGTAGGATTCAGAACTACTACCATGTCAAACATAAATCTTCCTTAACAAGGAATACATGACAAATTGGGAGCATTGGCATTTTTCATCTTTTTATAGCTCTGGATTTGTTTCTTTCTTTTTTAAGGTACAATATGTTATTCAGGGATACCATAAGAGAAGAGAGTATATCGCAGCTTTCCTGAGTCACTTTGGAACGTAAGTTTTCTTTTGATGCATTATTTTCTGTAGCATGGGGGAAAAGTGGTGTTTTCTGCACATGGTCTTTGCTTTGTGTGACTGCTGTCCACTGGGTAGGATGAAATCTGATCATTTTTCACAGAGTGATGTGTATAGATTGTCTCTCTGTAGCAGTACTGGAGCGAAGTTCAACGTTACTTCACTTGCAGTGAAGTTGTGCCGGTTGCCGATCTGATTTTACTAGAAAATAGCTGACGATGAGAAAAGGACAGTAGGGATTTTCTCCTTATGCAGAAGAAATGTGCTCATTTCTGAATAACTGACTGAAGGGGTCTTACAGCAATAGTCAGTGATGGAGAAGTGGGTACGGTTCCAAGCCTTGCAGGAGCCAGAAACCACTGCTTGGCATAGAGGCGGGACTGGGAGACCAGCTGCTCCCACCGCCGACCAGTGTCTTGTCTCTCGAGAGAAAGGGCTGCTTGGTCGTGTTGAATTCCTGCAGTTCAAAGGTCCATGGCCTGGCATGATGACACATTAGCTTCACAAATCAACTAAGCAGGGATGCCTTGGCACTGTGAAGGGTAGGCACTTTGGTTTCCCACCTAAATCCTGACTTGAGTCAGAGTCTGGGACCTGATGGCGACAGCGATTGCCTGACCAGCAGCGCTTCCCCTCGTTGTGAGGAGAACACTTCAGTATAGAAATGGCCCAAGTATGCCCGTGCTTGCATTTCACTTGCAAAGTGGTTCATGAGTCCTGATACAGCTTGAGACTTTTAGAGAATACAAGGTCCTGATGGTTGAAACTTTTAATCCATCTACTGAACAAGTCTTCTATATTTAATATTTTGTGTGCTCTCATGCTTTGCTTTTTTTATATATACTCTTCTAAATTTTCAAATTTGAACTCTTCTCAGCCTGCGCATTTTCTGTTTTATCCTGTCACTCACTACAGAGTTAATAAATTATCTTAATCTGAGTAATATACAGGGAATTTGTGTGTGTACGGTTTTTATGAATTTAGTACTGCAGATGCATTAGCAGGTCTCCTTTCATTCTAAAGTGTATTTATATAAACCGAATGTGGCCTTTCTTTGGGTACAAAACTCCAATACCACAGCATAAATAAGAAGATTATTAATATTAAAAGTTTAATCTAATTTTCATTTGGCTAGAAAGTTGTAACTGTTAATAAATAAAGCAAATACTGGGAGTTTCTGAACAAATAAAAAACATTCCTTGTAATACAGAATTTTGATATTTATCATTTGGTATTAGAATGAATGGTAGTTAAAAATTTTATTCTTTTTTGGTTTTTTTGTTGATAGTGGTGTGGTGGAATATGATGCAGAAGGCTTCACAAAGCTTACTCTGTTGCTGATGTGGAAAGATTTTTGCTTCCTTGTTCACAGTGAGTAACTCTTTGCCTCAGGCATAAATGTCTATCCTCTTGAAGATACAAGTTCAAAAGGGAAAAATACAATTACAGGAAACAATTTAAAAGTTTTTGCTATTTTTATCCAATGCTTAATGTATTTTTCGATGTGGCCATGACACTTGGAAAACACAAAATCGTGATTGTATTTGGAGAAGGGGAGAGGATCCACATCGATAATGTACTGCCTGCTTTACAGAATGCCAAAAGCATCCTGGGAAGGTTTTCTGTTAATTTGACTCAAGATTAAGTTCACAGTTGTAACTCGTCCTTTCAAAAGTGTCAATAATGAGGACCAATACTATACGTAACCTGGGAATACCTAACATCTTCTGTAATTGTCAGGAATTAATGCATTGATAGTGATAGTAAGGACACTTTAGGGAAAATATATTAAATGAGAAAAAATCCTATAGTGTCGTTAGGAGCCAAAAGTTATTCCTAGACTGAAACTGTGTAGGCAAAACTGTCTAACAGTTTGCTACAGTATGTAGCTAGACTTACTGCCATTTGAAATCTTAAAATCAAGATTGTATTACTTTCAAAAAGACATTCTTAATTAAATAAACATATAGGAAATACTTCATGTAGAAATTAGTATGTGTGGTTTTATTACTGCCTTATACATGTTAAGTAGCAATTATTATTTTTCCCTACGGTAAGGTGAAATTCACAGGTATCAAAGATATTTTGTTCTGGGGAAATTCAGTCATATTACTCTCTATTTTTGATTGTTACACTTCTCATCTTTGATTTAAAAAATTACAGTGCGGTCTGTGCAGCTGCAACATTGGTGGTTGTTAACACTCTAGCACTGGAATATTTCAGATTATGTAGTTTTTGGTTGTGGGCTAGTTTTTCATGTGGAAAACTACTGATGTCTTAATGACATCATAGAAATTTGTCCCAGAGTTTTTAAAGCAAGAAGTGGGGATTGCCGTTGTTCAGAGAAGTCCTTCACCATGTGTTGTATTGGAGATCATAAAAAATGGTCTCACCGATCCCTTTCTTTTTATCACCTAAGATCTCCAGATGGTAATGGCAATAAGAGGTCTAGAAAACTCAAACTTGAAATTAAAAAATTTTCATCATATTACTATGATTTACATTGTAGGAAAAAAAATAAAACTGATATGTCTTGAAAAATCATCCTTATTACATCTTTATTTACCCTTCAACTATAATTGAGAACTGGTCACTGGGTGATTGTCTTCTACAAAATGATGTTTCTTTATGTACAACCTTCTTGAAGATTTCCTACCTTTCTTACTCCCCAGTATGTTTGGCTTAATTTTATCAGTGTTAAAATTCCTGTGGATTTGATTTTTGCTGTGAGATAATATAACTTAATAGGTATTGAAGCAGTTAGATTTCAGGGGAATCATAATTCAAATTTCTGTCAAATAACAGAGTAGGTTTTAACTGGGAAATATTCACAGTGCTCAATTTAACTGGCATGAAAGCTACAATTATAACTGAATAGTTTATCACTATGTATTAACCCTGTGGCCTTAGAAATCATACAGTGCCTTAAATGTGTAAGCCATTGCATCACCTGCTTGTTGAACAATCCACTGCAAAAACATTTATGTTCCATGCACTGAAGGATATTGCAATGAAAGGACTGAAACCTGCACTTCATTTCCTGAGTGAAGTAATGCAGGCTTTCATCTCTTAACCACTGACATAACTATGTATATTATGGTTGAATATTTAGCAAGCATCTAATAAAATGTCTGGGAGAGATAGCCATAAGTTGAAAACTGTTCTGCTTTATATATTTACTACATAGTATGTAGAGAAAGTATTCAGAGGAGAATAAATAGGTCAGTATACAGCAAACACCATGGCAAATCAAATGAAAGGAACCATAGTAAATTTTACCGGCATCTTAACATCGGTTAAAATTTTAGGTTTAATTGCGATCGTGAGATATATAAACCCTAATGTGAGTTGAACTTCCTTTAAAAGAGGCATTCAGAGATTTTAAAAAATAACTTTGGGGGGTTTTTTTGCAAATAGTTGCACTCAAAGTTCCAAACTCATTTGGAAACTAGGAAGCAAAACACATTAGAAGTAAAGTGAAATTACTCAGAATAGTTTTACTGAGTAAATTGAATTAAAGATAAGAGGAGAGAAGCAGGAAAGTAGTTCTGGATTCCCAAAGCCCAATAACCTCAGAACAATTTCACTTGCTAAAAACAAATGATTTGTGCCGTATTTACAGAATCAAGAGCAAAGTCTACCCATTGAACCTTAAAACACAGAAGAGCTACCTAATTGCAAACTTAATCATTAGATTAATGTAGCTGCTGAAGTTATTATATTAGATCAAAGAGCAGTCAAAGGAACTGTTGCTTTAGTGGTTTAGTTCTAAAAATTGATCAAGTGCTTTCAAATATATGACAGAAGAAATAAACATTCAGAGAAGTTCATGCATCCATATGGAAGAGGAAATCGTTAATCAGGCTTAGGGCTTTTGATATTGATACTGTTTATGAGTAAGTCTCAGTACAACGCTTTGTAAGTAAACTTCGATATATTGCTGATTTCTTTCTCATTTATAAATCAGCTTTGATTAGTTTTGGAGATAGATATTTCTTCATATTCTTGTTCCTGCATACATTCTATATATTTATACAGTATATAAATATATACACGTGACATTATTTGTGCACGAGTTAAGTAGCCTTATTGGCATGAACACAAAAATAGGACTCCAAAGCAGCCTGTAATATAGGCTTTTCAAAGATTAATTTTTATCTTGCAAGATTTCTAGGTTATCAGCACAAAGGAGATTGACAGAAGTTGAACCGTTGCAATAACAAATGAAACGCTGCTTGTGTTAGTGGTTATTTGTTTAAGACATCTTGAAAAGGCCAGATATTAAACTAAAAAGGTTTTGTTTCATTGAACAATATTTCAGGGGATGGAGAATGTTGGAAGCTGGCAGCATTTGTATCTTAAGTTTGTATGTTTCTCAGACTTAGGTGAATTTGGTGGGAACACTTGCTGCCACTGAGCTTGGCTAACTGTAAGGGATTTCAGCTTCTGTGTTGGGTAATGCCAGCGTCCCCAGAGGTCCGAAGTGCTGGTTATGTGAAAGCTAAAGTTTAATTAACGAGCTTGCTTCCTGTGGGAGTGGCAACTGAATTAGCTTTTTGTCCACCCTCTTACCTATCTGTGCAGCTAGGTGGTTACCCCTGTCAGAGAATGGATCAGAAACAGGCAGCAGCTCAGCAAAATGGAGGCTTTTACGCAGGAGAGAGGAGCAAGCAATGGGCCTAGAGCATTAATTGGGTTATAGGAGGTTACACCTCCAAGTGTCAGTCTTTGGGCAAACACCCGCTTCTGGATTCAGGGTTTTTTGGTGGAAGTCATCAATGCCAGCTTCTGATGCACTCCTGCTTGAATATTGCTATCTGCACACATTTGTAGCAGAGCAGTTTGTGCCAGTGCAGTCAGCTTACATGGTTTGAATTGATGGCCCGAGCTAAACAATTGAGGTTCGCTAACATAAACCTCTTTGGATCTGGATTAGCACATCAGTCCACAGCCTCAGAAAGCAGCTTGGAAAACAAGGACACAAAGAAAGAATTTTTGGTAGTCGTGTTTGTCAAATGAGGCTTGGGAGGAGGGGGAACAAAAATAGAACATTTCGGGAAAGAGCATTAGTAGCTGGGAAGATGAGTTTACACTACTGTGCAAAGAAAGTGCAGTTTATTCCAGTAGTGTTCAGAGAAAGAGGAATGTATGCCTACTCACTGTAAATAAACAAAATTGTGTTGAAGAAGTAATTTGTTCTATCAGTTCCCTTTCTAAGCAGAAATAACTCATTAGGCTTCAGTTATTGTTTTAATCATTCAGCATAGAACAGCAGTAATCCTTGGAATTTAGGTAAATGTTAATTTTTCAAGCACCTGGTGTAGTTTAAGTTGTTACCTGCCCTTTAAAGAGATTGCTCCATCTCTGGAAAGTCAATGGAACAGAGCTAATGAGCAATCCTCAGTCCCTTCATCTGTTCCTCCTGCAGCTGTTTAAATAAACAAGTTAGACTTTGTGGTAGTAAATGGCTAGCAGGGAGGTTTAGTAAACTCTTAAATGGAAGATTTTCCCTAGTTGAACGTGTGTCTGATCACTCAGTGTTTGCTATTTGGGTTTAGGAGACCTTATGTGAGAGGGCAAAAGTATTTTCTTTCATCTAAGATTGCATTTATTGTTCTTTTTGAAAATGCTTCTGCAGATTCCTATTTGAAAAGTCACATGCCTACCACAATAACTCCACAGTCACTGAGATAATAAAAATGTTTAAGAAATATTTGTTTATCTGAGCAATTTGGAACCCAGAACATGAGACAGTTTCATCTAAACATTCCTGTATATATTTCAGTAAACCTTTATCTGCCTGTAGTTTTGGCTGTAGAGCCCTCTCTGTTATGTGGGACCTATATATCTTGTTAAATGTAAACATGAGAAGTAGCTAGTGTTTGTTGTTTTGATAGTGTTTAATGCAGTTGGAATATGCTCAATGACTCCTGTGTGCTACTGGAGTATGAATAACTATTTGAGTGGGGTTGATAGTTTGAGACACCTTTTTTTCAGTTTTCTGTCATGTAAGATTTGCTCACATACCTTTTGGAAGCTAAAAAGAAAATAGCCTTCAAGAGTTGCTCTTCCTCATCAGTATCAGTACCTGGCAGTCATCTCTATTCACACTTAACATTCCAGGGAAAAAAGTCTTTGGAGGAAATTAAGATTGGGAAGTTAGTCTGATTGTGAAAGAGAAGCCTCTTCAAGAAAAGGTATGGAAAAATTAACTGCTGTCTGCCCGAGTCGTTTACTGAAAAAGGGCCTAGTGTTGAGTGGAATATTTACATTAGATCGCTTCTGTGAGCTTTTATCTAATGAGATGTTTTGGCTTCCTTCCATAGTGCGTTTATTTTATTCTTCTCATTGTTCCTTATATGAAAAGAGGAATTTATGACTCTCTGAAAACTCAGGGAGAAGGAAAAAGAGAACATGACAGTGTGAATAACAAGGTATAGGAGAATGGAGTGATGTCTGGTAGTGTCAGGAAAGCAAGATAGTTCAGCAGAAATGTCAAGCATAACAAAATAAACGGCTCAGGAGTCTAGTATGAGAAGTTCGATGCTGATCAAAAAAGTCTGCAAAGATTATATAGGGATGTCATTTTTTTCTTAAATGAGAAACTGGAGATTAACAAAGACCCAGTGATGTAAAATTGGCTGGCAGAAGTGAAAAGCCATTTGGATCTTATGCTTGGGAGTAATTTTTTGACTGTTCAGTAAGCAGGTAACGGGTTTTTTTTCCTCTGACTCTCTCGGTGCTTTTAGTCAGTACCATGTGTTTCTTTGAACCTGGTCTTGAAAGTTCCTGAGCACATGTCATTCTGCCTACAGCAAACTATACCCTGAGCAGAGAGGGTCTCTTCAAAACTTTGTACGTTGTTTTAATCACCACAAAACAAAGCATTCTCTGTCGTTGCCTGTGTAGTGAGGTGCATGTTGCTTAACTGAAGTCAATGAAAGCTGCAGATACGCTGCAGTGCTGTGGATCAGGCAGTGCAATGGAGAAGCAGCCTGAGTCACAGGTGCACAGTTAACTAGTCATAGGCAGGGGCTAATACCAGGACTGAATTGCAGCATTTGGAAAATTAATTAGCCTTTTGCTGATCATTTTCCCTCCATCGCGTATTTTTCTCCTTTATTTCTAAGGGACGCTGCCAACAAGATTTAGTTTGAAATTTGTATTGAAAGCTGATAATTTAATTTTTGTCATTGTTAAACATTGTGTTCCTTTGATTCCATCCTGGATATTTACTTGTACGTGAGCTGAATGAAATTTTCCATATTTAAGTATTCATAACGGGTGCAAGTGAACCTGAAAACAGAGGTTTTCTTTTCCTCTTTTTCTGTTTCTCTCTTTTAATTTTGTAATCGTGTTACTCGCTATAAACTAGTTTTAGGTTCATATTTTAAATTCTGCTAAAAAAGCGAGAATGGACACAAGGCAATTCATGAAACTTGATATGAACAGCAACAAAAAGAAAACAACTGTTGTGATAAGAATTCGGTTTTACAAGTATTTTATGATGGCCTGATGTGGGTGGACTGGCAAAGTATTTTTAAGTGTCACTTTGCTGTGCATATTACCTTTTTAATTTCTGAGAAACACATATATTTTCCATACCTTTAAAACTGTAGTATATTGCTGTAGGCATTAATTGATGTTATTCCAGGAACTACGAGCACTTTAACAAATGGACTGAAATGTTTTGTAATAACTTCTTACAAAATTGCACTTTTCAGAAAACTGAACTATTGCTTTTTCTTATCTAACAGATATATCTAGAGTACTACTGCTATGTGCTCAAGTATATGGCAGGTAACTAATAAATTCTCAGAAAAGATGCCTGAGATAGAGAAGTGGTATAATCCTATTTTATCCACTCAATTTGGGGGAAAAAAGTAATTAGGTCACAAAAAGGCATTGACAGAGCTGGGACTTGAGCAGAGATCGTGGTATTTTTTCTTCTTACTGTATGTCTGTCTTGTGTCTACACATTTTGACGTTGTCTCACATGGCATTCACAGATAGTTTTTCTCTAAGATGACAACTACATTAAAGGTGTGAGATACAGAAAGTTGAAAATTGCTCATAGTAGCAAGCATAAAGCAAATATTTTGTTTTCAGTCTGGAAAGGAGATGATGAGCATGGGTTTCACAGGGATCAGTCTGAGTTCAATACCAGAAAAAAAACAGGGCGATACAGAACACCACATGATTATTAGAGAGGTGAATTTTCTAGAACTAAGAGCTGCATCAAGGAAAGAAAGATTTTCTGAATCCTTCTTCCCTACCTCCTTCCTCTTTCTCCCCAGTGACAATTACTTTGTCGTCACAGTAAACTTTTTCTAAGAGTCTATATGTAACACAGCAATAGCACACAAAGGCAACTGCTGCATAACTTTTATGAAATCGATAATTTACTTTTGAATAATAGTAAGTACACCTTGCTTTAGAGATGGAACTCATCACAAAGATGTTTAAATGTCTAAACGAGGGAAGGAGGGAGTGCTTAAATTGCTTTTCTGTCTCCTTTGTCACCAGTTCCCCTGCCCCATTCAGCAGCAGTCCCACATTTTCCCAGGTCCCCCTTTTGCTGTTGCTGTTCCTGTAGCAGCCCATCTTGTCCTTAGCTCCCCTCACCAGGTTCAACTCCAGGTGAGCTTTGACATTCCTAACCCGGTCTCTGCATGCTCAGGGAGCGTCCACATCTCATGTGCTTCCTTTTTATGTTGTGAGTTTTGTCAGGACCTCCTTGTTCATCCATGCCTCCTGCTTGACTTTCTGCTCATTTGGATGGACCATTCTTGAGCTTGTGGGAGGTGATCATGGCCCCCTCTTCTCTCCAGGACCATCATCACATAGGATTCTTCCATGGGAGGAGCAAGATCTCTGAACGGCCCGAAGTCTGCACACTGAAGCTTAGGGTTGTGATCCTGCTATTTGTCTTTCTTCATCCTCAAATGGAGTATTCAGAAGAGAGCACCAAAAATGACTAGTAGTCTAGAAAGCATGGCTTAAAAGAACGTGTTCCACAAACTAGTTCTTCAGGTCATCAAAAGACCCTAGATGGATAAGCCTTCAGAAGTGTGAAAGGTGGCTTCAAGGGCAAGAGTGGTGAATTGTAACATTCGGGAGTGGGAAGAAGCAATGGGCCTATATTGCAGTAAAGTAGATTTCAGTTTAGCTATAAAAATATCTGGAGTCGCTTAGTTGGCTGGTCAGGTCGGGCAGGATTACACTGCGTTGTGATGTGAAAGCCATAAGCCTGCGTGGAGCAAAGCTTGAAGGAACAGGATAGCATGTGTGTCAGCAAAGGGTCCTTCCATGTCAGCGAAGGGTCCTCTTGACCTGCAGGGTTATGTCACGCTGATCACAGATGAGAATGAAAGAAATCGGCTTCCTTTCAAATCCCAGGCAGCATTTAAAACAGGAAAAAGAACTTACTTGCAAGCCTCCTAAGCTTAATAAAGTGTCAGTGAGAGAAGTCAATGATTTTGCACAGCTGCTTTTCAGGTGAAAACATGCTTTAGGAGTCTTCCTGTCCTGCTAAAAGTAGTGGAGAGCTTCCCAGTGTTTAGCAGTGCGTCCCTGTACTGGGAAGGCAGAGGAAAAGTTTTCACCTGTTCTCCAGCAGTAGCACGCGATGGTCACCAGCCTGTGCCAAGAAAGGGCCCAGCTTGCTTTTTACGCCTATAAAAATGCAACTGTATTTAAAGTGTAAGCTTCAAGCAATTCAGATGGAGAAGAGGCAGCTTTTAGTAGCATCAATCTCATCAGCACTTAGCGAAGTTACTATAGAAACTGTTACAGCAGAAACAATAAAAGGAAATAAAAACGGAAGGGGGAGGGAATGAAGATCTTTAAGAATTCGAAGTAAAAATAAAGCAAAATAGATGTCACTAGCTGAAACTAGTGAGGTAAAAATAAAAAACCTTTCTCCTAATTAAAATAATTATGGTTACAGAAATTAGAGAAGGAAAAGACCTGTGAGGCCATTATGCCATTTCTTTGGGCTCAATAGAGGATTATGAGATATTCCTATTTTTAGGAGGTAGTCCAGCCTTGCTGTAAAAGTCCAAAAGAGTGTGAAATAGTTGAGGTGGGTGATGACACTCCAAAGCAAGAAGACATTCTAAAGCAGGTTTTGGGTTAAGTTACATCACTTTTTCATGGTCTTTGACCGCATGGCTGGAAACTGCTTGAAGAGTATCTTGGTTTGATCTGTTACTTGGTTTCTCTGTAAGACTAAACAAAGAATTAGATACTTTACCTGCAGCACATGACTGTAACTTAAGGTATTTAAACTATTTTTGTCATATTTTTTTAAAAATTCTGGTTTTGTATGAAGGATGGGGTACTTAAAAAGAAAGGATATCATACAGACATGGGATATTTTTACAACCGTATCATTTGCCTATGTTGAAAGAAAATCAAAACAATAGTAATCATAAATCTAGTTGCTGTTGGTGTCTGGACTGTATTGCTGTTCCCATTATCAGTGAAATAAGAACCACAAGATAGATACAGCAGTGTCATGCAGTCCTCTTCAAATAAAAACAGATTACATACTTTATATTAAAAAAAAAAAACAACAAACAAACCAAAACCAAGAAAACCCAGTGATAAATTTATTCTAGTCTCATTGAAATCAACAAGTGAACAAATCTACTCTTTGTAATGTGTCAGAATAGTTTAATCCATCACAATTCATTGTTTCAATTCTTCAGAAATATTGAAGGGCTGTCTAAAAGCACTGGAATTAAAGGTAACCCCTTCTGTATCTGAGACTTTGAAGTTGGCCATTTCCATAGATGTGATGTTGTCATAAGACACATTAGGGAAAGGGACGTACTGTTGGTGCAAAAAAATTGAAAAAAGAAGAACCAATTCTTATTTCAAATCTAGCCTGGACTAACAATAACTGAAAGTCATTCCTGTCCAATTAAAAAAAGAAGAAGGAAAAAATAAGGGAAACTAGATTCTCCTTCAAGCATTCCTTAGTGTCACAATGAACATCACCGAAGTTACTGCAAGCCTGGCATTTGCCAGCACTTTCAGTAACTGCTGTCAGCCGCCTCTCATTCTGGAGGTAATGCGTTGAACCTGTGCTAAAGAAAAGGTTCCTCAGCATTTGCCTCCTTTCTTATCCCAGCTGTATTCTACCTAACATCCTTCTAGTAACCTTATCTTCTAAACATCTCAGTGGGCTCCCTTCCCATTCTTGGGTATTATACTTGCTGACAAAGGTCAAGAAAATCTCGTGTTGTTGAGGATCAGTCATTACACAAATGCGGTTCAGGACTGGCTTCTTAGTGAGTTCTGTTGCCAAACCCCTTTCCCAGTACAGAACAAGGAGCTGTGAATTTCATATATTTATGTAAATTGTCATAATACCTTTTTTCCATTATACCAATCATATTTCAATGTTTATTAATATTGATTAATATTGTACATTCAGTTAATACAGAACTGATGCAGTTAAGAAAAAAAATAGTTGTTTCTTTTTTCATAGTATTTATTTGGAAGAATTTTGTATATGTCATCTTACTCATTTACTGTACAAGTGTTCACTTTGCCAATGGGGTGGATATTTCCCATAGCAAGGGCAGACTTAATTATTTCAAAGCCAGCTGTGATTACTAACACACCCAAAGTGCCATAAGTATCTCAGCTAAAATTCCATGAACAACTTTTCATTTCATATTTGAAATTTTGAAATGTTG